CTTCAGTATGGGTTGCACTTCAATGTAAAGAAACCAAAATCCTCACCACTGGACCAATAAATAACATCATAATAAATGGAGAAAAGATTGAAGTTGTCAAAAACTTGATTTTGCTTGGATCAACCATCAATACTCATAGAAACAGCAGTCAAGAAAGCAAACGACGTGTTGCATTAGGCAAATCTGCTGCACAAGACCTCTTTAAAGTGTTGACGAGCAAAGAGGTCAGCTTGAGGACTAAGGTGCACCTGACCCAAACTATGGTATTTTCAATAACCTCATATGCATGTGAAAGTTGGACAGTGAATAAGGAAGACTGTAAAAGAATTGGTGCATTTGAGTTATGGTGTTGGACAAAAGTATTAAAAGTACCTTGAACTTCTAGAAGAACAAACAAATCTGTGTTGGAAGAAATACAACCAGAATGCTCCTTGGAAGCCAGGATGGTAAGTCTTTGTCTCTCATCCTTCAGACATGTTTTCAGGAGGGATCAGTCCCTGGGTAAGTGGAGGAAGACCCCCAACGAGATCAACTGACACGGCAGCAGCAGCAGCAATGGGCTCAAGCTTGACAGTGATTGTGAGGATGGCCCAGGCCCAGGCAGTGTCTCATTCTGTCATGCACAGGGTTGCTATGAGTTGGAATAGACTCGAAGACACCTAATGACAAAACAATTGTTCCTACATCTTCTCTATCAAAATGTTTCAAAATAAAGGCGATGTCAGTCTATCTAAAATGTTGTTACTGGAGAATCTTTTGACAATCCTAACATAACTGAGCTTTTTCATTACCTCTAACTAGTTCAGTGATGGTGATATTGGTGCTCTGGCATCTTGTATGTCTCCACACCTGAAAATGCACATTTCTCAAACTGCAATGCAAGGACAAGCACTGAGCTGCTGGCCTCAAGGTCAGCAGTCCAAACCCTCCAGGCACTCAACAGGACAAAGATGAGGTTCAGAAACCTTACACAAGGCCGCTAGGAGTCGGAATCATTTGATGGCAGTAGATATGCAGGAATAAATAGCAAAACTTTTTAAGGTCTTTATTATTTTCAAAAAGGTTTTCTTTCTATGCTTTCCCATCCCCTATCCAGATGATAAACCTGGGTAAAAAATGTTACATCACCCACTAACCCATCTAGTTCCATATTTAACAATGTGTTCAACAGGAAGACAGACCTGCCACCTCCAGATTTGTTTTGATACAGAATCCAGCTCTCATTTCAGATCAAGGTCTTTGTAGCTATTTAAAGAACAAATGTAACCCTGACAGATTTTGTTTTGTTTCATTTAAACTTCCAATGAAACTGGAGGCTCTGATCTTGGGTGTCAAAGCAGATACTCGTGAACATGCAGTTACAATGAGGCAATCAGTACAGGACAGAAACAGCAGGGGAACGACAGCAGGGTTTATTGTAAACAGGTCTGGTTCTAGCCGACGTGGGGAAGAGCTAGTAGAAAAATGAGGACACTGTGCCCATGTGGTAGCTGAAGTGGAGGTCTTGGCTTTCGTTTTTGGTTTTGGTTTTGGTCTCTGTTCTTTTGCAGGGGCTCAATTAATTCGCTTTTCAACTCACTTCATTCTTTATTATGAGTAAGCAAGTGGGAACTCAATTTTTCCATTCTAAAATGCAGACGGACTGGACTGAAATGTTGAATGGATTGGATGGATAAAGATGGGTACCTGGCTGGTGGTTATGTGCTGTGGAGTCGGTTCCGACTCATAGCCGCCCTGTACAGGGTTTCCAAGGCTGTAAATCTTTACGGGAGCAGAAAGCCTCATCTTTCTTCCGTGGAAAAGCTGGTAGTTTTGAACTGCTGACCTTAGGGTTCACAGCCTGATTCGTAACCACTACAGAGCTCCTTGGGTACCTGGGTGGTGATGGTCTGGTCAGAGTGGAGATAGAAGCATAAAGGTCCCCTTCTAGACCTAGACGCCGCAAAGCATATAACTAACTCAGCAGCGCCAGGGGCATTTCTCTCTTCAGTTGTCTCCCCAGTTTCCATAGCTGACTCAGAGGCTTTGTAAATGAGCCCTGAACTGAAGGCTCATTTCAATCCTGGGCCACTAGCGCTCTCTGTCGGTCACCTTGGAAATAGGCACGCAGACGAAATCAGAGCTCTGGGTACAGGGAAGACCCCAGCAGCCTCCAACTGCAAAGGTGAGCTCCACTCAGTGTAGCATGTCTAAATTACACGGATTAGCTACAGTTCTCAACAGTCCCTACCAAAAAAATACCAGAATGAAAGCAATGCCGGGCTACACCCTCAAATAGCATAAGGATAGAGGAAAAGTGCCAATTTTAGAAATTACAGTTATTAATTTGTACCCCTGGTAGCACAGTAGATTGCGAGCTGCAAGCCACAAGGTAAGCAGTTCGAATCTACAGATGTTCCGTGGGAGAAAGAGAAGACTTTCTACTCTCATAAAGATTTACATCCGCGGAGGTCTGTACAGGGTTGCTATGAGTAGGAACCAACCGATTCTACAGCATACAACCACCATCATCACCAGTTCTAATTGGGTTGCTCGTTGGAATGCTAACCGAAAAGTCAGCAGTTCAAATCCACCAGCTGTTCCACATGCATGCGAATAGTGAGGCTTTGTGCTCCATAAATATTTACAGCCTTGGAAATCCTGTACAGGGTGGCTATGAGTCGCAACCGACTCCACGGCACAGAACAACCGTGTCCTCCTTCATTTTGATGCTTTTGTCGTGGACATGAGAAGACAAGCTCACTGTCGGCACTCTAGACTGGTGAGGGTTATGGAGAAGGCACCTTTCACAGTAATAGGAGCCATGCGCACATTCGTGGGTCTCCGCTGGCTACGACCCCCTAACCTGAGCCAGGCCTTCGCACTCAGAAATGCCCCCAAAGAACCGGAATTTTGGAAGTAGCCACTAGTGAGGAGAGTAAACACGCTCACCCCTGTACAAACTGGGCGACTGCGGACCACAGGCCCGAGCCGCCTCTGAAGACCCTCGTATGGCCAAGCTGGCAGAGCCTGGGTAGCGACGGGCAAGCCGAGCGCCGCCACGCGGAGGCCCCGGGCGCTCACGGGAGCAGGTGCTGAGCCCGAGCGCACGCTCAGCGTCTCCGGGCTGCGGCGTGGCTCCAAAAGCGAGGCTCCGCCTGGAATCACCTGGCGAACAGCGCGGGCCACGACCACCGCCCGAGGGCTTTCCATGCAGCGCCTGGCAGCCGCCGGCCAAAAGCCAAGCAAAGGCTGCCTCCCACTCCGCCCCTGCAGGCGCGCCATTCCGGGGCGTGTCCTCGGACCGGCTCCTATTTAGTGGCCTTACAGCCAACCACCACCCAGATGCGAGCGCGGTGGCGAAAGCGGTGGAGGACGCCGTCGGTGCCTGCCCAGCTCCCGGAGCCCTGCCCCGAGCCTCTTGGCCAATCCGGGTCCCTGCTGTTCTCGATCTTGCCCCTTGGAAACTAAGTGGCAGCCAGAGAGGGTCTCCCGTACCATGGAGCAAACACGCTGTGCGCTCTGGGCAGCCACGTTAACCACGCTGGCGCTGCTGAGCGGACCGCCAGTGACGCGGGCTGGCGCGGGCTTGGCGGGCGCGGGCCCCGTGGTGCGCTGTGAGCCTTGCGACGCGCGCGCGTTGGAGCAGTGCGCGCCGCCGCCCTCGGCGCCCGCGTGCACCGAACTGGTGCGCGAGCCAGGCTGCGGGTGTTGCCTGACGTGCGCGCTGCGCGAGGGGCAGCCATGTGGCGTGTACACCGAGCGCTGCGGCACCGACCTGCGCTGCCAGCCGCAGCCCGCAGAGCCGCGTCCGCTCCAGGCTCTACTGGATGGCCGCGGGCTCTGCACTAACGCCAGCGCTGCAGACCGCCTGCTGGACTATCTGCTGCACAAACCACCGGCGTCAGGTGAGGCCGCGCCCGGGACTCCGGGACTCCGGCCACGCGGCAGAGGGAGTGGGGTGACCGGTGCTGCTACCTAAGGAGCGGGATGGACCAGGGGTTCCGCCCTCTGCAGGCAGACTTGCACTTTTTCCTCCCCAAGGGTAGGCAATTAGCTGTGTCTGCAGGATGAGCGAGATTTCGTGGGGAGTAGAACCAAACCGCAAAAAGGAGATTGTCCCAAGCCTGGGGTCACAGGAAGGCAGGTAAACTGGCATAGAACCTTTGAATGTGGCTTCCGGTTCCCAGAAAGACCAGCAAGGCCCTCCAAGAGGTTGGTGTGGGTGAGGGAAGTGGCCATGGGGAGGCACTTACGAAATGGTACCTGTCCTAAAAAACTTGTTTGCCAACCCTGTGGTTCTGTGTGGTGCTGTGGGATACAGCACTGGACCGCAAGGTCAGTTTGAACCACAAGGTCGGCGGTTCAAACCCACCAACTGCACCTTTGAAACTATATAGGGTCGCTGTGAATCAGAACTGACTCAACAGCGCTGAACAAAAGCAACAACACGGTTTGTAAAGCTGTGTGAGGTGGGTATCCGGTAATCCTGTTTATTCACAGTTGGGAAAATGAGGCTGAGGCCATCCAGAGAGACTTGAACACTGTTTCCCAAATTTCGTCGCAGATTCTCCTTGTATCACTCCACCTGTGTTCCTCCACTGCCCACCGCCCCTGCGTGCCCCATGTCCCAGACAGACTCCAAGAGGGTTCAGGCTGTGTGAACAAAGCAGACTTCAGTGACAGGAAAAGGAGCTAGAAAAATCCCACCAGGATTTTCTTCCTTAATTTAAAAGGGGAAATGAGTCCCCGTTTATGGAAGCCCCAGGAGAAGGGCAGAGTGGGTCAGGCAAGCACTGCTCTGTTAGAACACCACACTGTTACTTTATAAATAAAAGAAGTCTCAGTGGAGTTGGCAACTCGTCCTGTAAATATCAAGTAAGCCTAGCCAGCCTCCTTCTGTGAAGTCAGGGTTGCTGTGTGGTCAGTTGCAAAGTTGAAGGCTACAAAAGCCCCAGCTCCACCACCTGCATGAAATGGCCAGCAAGCCCCCACCTTGGCTGGCAGGACAGACCCTTTATAACTTCTATAGCTGCAGATTTCGCCTCCTGGGAAAGGTACCCAAGAGTGTGGAAAGGCAGATTTCCAATTACCTAAAATGTATACAGGTTCTGTTGTTGTTAAGTGCTGTCTATGGGTTCCAATTCACAGCGATCTTGTATAGGGTTTCCAAGAAGCATCTGGTGGGTTTGAACCGCTGACCTTGTGGTTCAAATCGACCTTGCCTTCCAGTGCTTTATCCCACAGAGCCACACTGGGCCACCAGCACCATAATAGCTCTGCATTACAGGCTGATGTGATTTATTAGAAGATTATAAAAAGAAATCTAAGTGATCTGTTTTTAAATCTATTTAGCAAAATAGGTAAATTTATGTTGTTGTTAAAACAGCACAATTATCTTCTGCTTAAATATGTTCCCTTTTATTCATGCCTAAGTCAGCAGTCTGGAAATTAGAAATAAACCAATGAAGTTTAAGAAGTGACTGCTGAATTTTGGAAAATAAATGCAAATCTATGTATTCACATATTCTTAATGCCTCCTTTGTGCCAGAACATCCTTGAAAAAGAAAAACTAAGGTAAAAGCTAATGAGACCAGATCCCACCAATTAACCTTAATCTGTCAGGCACTAGTCCAGACCCTTGGAATTTCTATATCCCAATATACCACATCCTGGTGTGGCACTGTAGGATAAGCACTGGACTGCTAACCACAGGGTCAGAGACTGAAATCCACCAGCTGTTCCATGGAAATCCTATGCAGGGTCACTATAATTGGAACCCACTGAGCAGTGCTTAACAAGATACCAAACATTTTGGGAGATTTTGCAGCTGGACCACACAGTGATGTTTTTAGATGAGGAAACTTAACATCCAGAGACTAGGGCCCCGGGAGCATGACCTGTGCATCTCTGTCCGCTTGTGAGGTGGTTTCTAGAGAGAAGAGGCACTAGAAGGATCATCAGAGTGGCCATCTGCTACTGCTCATTGCAGAGAGCCATGGGATCTGGTAAGCCTCCCAGCAGGCAGGCTCCCACAGCCATGCATGTGTTCCTGGGAGGGCAGAGAGCAGTTTAATGGACGCATGATACTTTGGACCCCAGGCTGATCAATCAGGACTACATATGGGTCAACATGCCCATGCCAAGAAAGTAGATGCTAAAGCCCTGCTTATATGCGTTAGGAGAAGTCAGAGCAGTATAGCCAGAGGATTGAGGCTGAAACCTCTTCTAGCTCATCTGCTCCAAATGAAGCCCTGGGTCCTCACGGGGTCCCAGGGGCTTGGTAGAGGCTGCCTTGTGCCTGTGGTCATGCACAGAGGCGGTACAGGTCAAGAGGAGAGGCCCTTCACCTGTGGTCACTCAGAAAGTGTATCTTGGCAAAAGGATTGAGTTAAAAACCTTACTAGGCATCCAGCCACGACTGTAATCCTTTTACAGGCATCTCTTGGTATCTGAGAGGGATTGATTCAAAACATGAACATAAAATTCAGGAGCATTCAAGTTCCTTATATGATATAAAGTACACAAGAAGACATGCTTAGGTTCTATACAAATATAACCTAAGCATGTCTTCCTGTGTACTTTATATCATAATACCTGTGGCACTGTAGGATCATTATTGGACTGTGAACCACAAATTCAGCAGCTCAAACCCCCCAGCTGCTCCTCAGAAATTCTGTACAGGGTCGCCCAGAACCAGCTGTATCAATGGCACTTAACAACAACAACAGCAAAGTGTACGTGCTATATAAATGTCACTTTCTGCTCCCTCTTAGCCTTGAAGAGATTGCTTTGACTACTTAATTGCTGTCCCCCACCCCACCAGTATTTTCAACCCTCTGTTATGAGTTGGAACCAACCTGACTGCACACAGTGATGTGTAACTGCTAGAATTTGGGGATTGTCCTTTATCAAGGTTTTAAATATATGTCTGTTTGAAAGTGTTAAATAAATTTTCTGTTGAAATGCAACTGGTCATTAAAAACAGTTAATGCTCTCAACTGCTAACTGAGAGGTTGGAGGTTCTAGTCTACCCAGAGGAACCTCAGAAGAAAGACCTGGCAGTCTGTTTCCAGAAAATTAGTCCTTGAAAACCCTATGGCATCAGCATGGATTCTGTGATGACTGGTTATTTATCGGTTGCAAACTTTGGCAAAGACTACTGTGCTATCAAATGTTGACAACTAATATTGCATTTTTTTTTTTTGTCTTTGCTTCCCTTGTGTTTTTCAAGGGAATGCCAGTGAATCAGAAGAAGAGCACAATGCTGGGGGCATGGAAAACCCAGATCCCGCCAGCACACATCGGGTGCCAGACTCCAAATTGCATCCCCTCCACACCAAGATGGACGTCATCAAGAAGGGTCATGCCAAGGAAAGCCAACGCTACAAACTAGACTATGAGTCTCAGAGCACGGACACCCAGAACTTCTCCTCGGAATCCAAACGGGAAACAGAATATGTAAGAACTGTTTTTGTTGTTGGAAGAGAGGTTGGAAAGAACCGCCTAGTCTGGGCAGCCAGAGTAACCCCTAGGACAGTGAGGTCTTTAAAACCATGTAGCTCCATTCGAAAGAACCCAGTCAGCTGAGCCACATTGTTTGGTTGATGTAGGGGCAGCCTCCAGCTTCTCCTAACCTGCTTCCTCCCCATCCAGCTTCTTCCTTGCTTCCCCCCTAATTACTTAAAGAGTATCACACACTTATGGAAACCCTTTAGATAACCATTTTTGTGTGTCCTATACCAATTTGTACATCTTACTTTGTTGTTGTTGTTGTTAAGTGCCAGCGAGTCAGTTCTGACTCATAGCGACCCTGTACAGGGTTTCCGAGGAGCGGCTGATGACTTTGAACCCCCGACCTTGCTGTTCAAACCAACTGTGCAATCCAGTACATTACCTTACCACACCTCAACGGGACTCTTAACTTTGGACGTATTACTTTGGAGATAAAGAGAAGAGAGCATGCAGTGCACTGGATTGCTAACCACAAGGTCGGCGGTTCAAATTCACCTGCTACTCCTCAGTGACCCTGTACAGGGTCACTATAAGTGGGAACCAACTCGGTGGTACTTCCCAGCTCAACAACAACAGAAGAGATGGAGAGAGAGAGCATGCTCTTAGTCTTTCTTGCTAAATCAGACTAAAGATGTTGAAGGGGTGCATTATAGGGTCCTCGTGCAGTCATTGTCTCTGTGTGCTAAGATTTTTAAGAACTGTGGGTCCCAAGCAGTAACAGACTCCATCACCCTTTGCTCTTGTCTCCAGGGCCCTTGCCGCAGAGAAATGGAAGACACACTGAATCACCTCAAGTTCCTCAATGTGCTGAGCCCCAGAGGTGTGCACATTCCGAACTGTGACAAGAAGGGCTTTTATAAGAAAAAGCAGGTAAGCGTGGCCAATCTCCATGAAGGCAGAGGGGAAACTGATCTCTGACCCCAAGAAGCTCCCCGGGTCCTAATCTCACCTCAAACCCATTGCAGTATCGTGTGTGTGACTGTGGTGAATGAGTCTGTCTGAGAAGATCAAACCCACAGACCCCGGTGATGACCAGCATTCAAGACACGGTCATGCTGTTTCTCACCCCCGAGCTCACCCATGTAATGCTGCCGGGAAAACCTACACAGCCCTTCTAGGGACACACTGACCACTTTAATCACTGTGAAATTTTGGGTGACAGTGACATTTTGAATGAGTTCTGTTGTTAGGAACTTCCAAGCAGTGTAGCAGAAAGTCAGAGAATGACATCTCACACTGATGTCTTCATGTGACTGAGTGAACTGTGAAAGAGCCAAGAAATGTAAGATAATGGTTATTTTAAGTCACCGTAAGTATATTGATGGAATCCTGGTGTGGCACTGTGGGTTAATGCACTGGACTGCAAAGTCAGTTTGAACCACAAGGTCGGTGGTTCAAGTTCATCAGCTGCTTCTCAGAAACCTTAGAAAGTATCACTATGAGTTGAAATCAACTCAAAGGTACTTAACAATAATAATATATTAATTGTAGCATTATTTCAATTGTTGTTCTAACCTGGCACTTTAAACAGTGCCATCTGTAGGCTGTAGAACAGCTGTTTAGACAACACTAGTCTTAGTGCCAAGAGCCGGGGTGGAGCTGTGGGTTAGCTGTTGGACTGATAACCAAGAGGTCAACTGTTCAACCCCACCTGCCAGTCTGCGGAAGAACCACGAGACTGTCTGCTTCCGTGAAGATGTGCAGCTAGAAAATCCTAATCTATCTAGGATTTCAGAGACTCACTGTATATCGTAACATGTACCATAACCACTCTAAAGTGAAATCAGCTCAGTGGCAGTGCGTCTGATTTGTGGTTTGGTGTTGGTGTTGGTAGTGGCCACATGCAGAGAGCTCATAGCTTCAGTGACCATTGATCACTCCTGCTTCTTTGCCCCGCTTTGGTTTCCTGGCAGTCACTAGTAGACAAGCTCCTACTGAGAAATTAGCCTGTGTAAGACTCCATCTCTGCTCTGAAAGACAGAGGGAGGAGCCAACTTAGACCCAGTCCTTGTGCGTCTCAGTCTGACAGGACTGAAGAAACATGCTCCTCTCAGTGGACATGCTAGAGGGTTCACTGTCCACTCTGGGCTCAGAAGGAGCAAATCCACAATGCCCTCTGCTCTTTGGGGAACTTCAGTGCACACAAACTTGCACACACACACATACACACATACGTATGTGGGTTTTAAATAGCATTAGTCTGGATTTTGTTCTTGTAACACAATAGTGATGTGGTGGAGGGGCTCTCTGGGCTCCTGGTCACTCACTTAGCATTCTGCCCTGAACACCTGCCCACTGTCCAGACCCAGATATCCAGTCCTTGGGGATGCTGACGTGTGGTCTCTGTGCTCCTCTCTGCAGTGCCGCCCTTCCAAAGGGAGAAAGCGAGGCTTCTGCTGGTGTGTGGACAAGTATGGGCAGCCACTCCCCGGCTACAATGCTAAAGGGAAAGGTGACGTTCACTGCTACAACATGGACAGCAACTAGACACCGGAGGCAGCTGCCGGGACTCAGTCTGGCCACGATGTAAGCCTCAGAGACTTGTGTCCCACCTGAGGGTCCATGCCTTCCCCACCAGGCTGTTCCTCCTGCTAACATGGGGTGAGAGGGGAGGCCATGCCCGTGAAGGCTACACAGCAGAGCGTTTCTGCCTAAACCTGCTAGCTGGACTCACCCCACAGACTGTAGAGAGAAGCAGAGCAAAGACAACAGGCAGGTCAGAGAGGTTCAGAGGAAAAGGCAGCCAGGTCCATGTCCAAGACACTTGGTGTGATCTTTAAAAACCAGCCACATGGATGCCTGCATCACTTGTAATATGAAGAGTCCGTAAATTAGGCCTTTTCCATTAAAGTCTGTTGGTCCACATACTTTCTCAGAGACACTGTTTTCATCTAAAAGGACTTATTAAGGAAATAGGTTTCTAAATGAAAGATAGAACTATTTTTTGTTTTCTGTAAAATATATTATTCATATTCTGTTAGTCTGTGATGAATATAATTTTAATAAAGTTTTATTTAAATCTGATATGAGAATGAAATTTTAAAACATTATTTTGAAGAGTGCTACTATTATACTCATTTCCTTTTTTCTGTTGACAAATATGGGAACTATTGAAAAAGAATCAATACAAAGACAGATTTACCAAGCAGAATGAATTTTCATTTTTATCTACAGGTTTTTTTTAATGGCAAGTGACTAAGGACTGGTTCTAGGGTTGCCCTTTGACCATGACTATGGGCTGTCACAGGAACTTCTTTGCTCTGCTCCAGATGTTGGGCCATGACCACCCCACCCCCCCACCCCCCATCCACTCTGGGCTCACGCACTGCTTCTTAGACACTCTGCTCAATGATCCCAGACCGAGTTTGACGTTTTTGGATTTGTTTTTGACCCCTTATTTCAATGTATCTCTTTTTCTTCTCATTGTAGTTAATGTGGAGCTCAAACACGTCTTATTTTGTACAAAAGCCTGCCAAGGACATTACCAGCAGCTGGCTACAGCCTCGGTTTATATTTCTCTTTGTAGTGAATTATTTTTGTTTTGTTTTTGATAGTTTAGAGACATGTTTTTGAAATGTCTGTGGTTCTTCTCAATGGTAACTTTGAACATCCTTCCACTGTCCAGTAGTGAATGAGGGGCAGTTTGATTTTTCTTGTGGCTTCATGTGGAAACAGTCCTGAACCCCAGCAAGATGCCTCAGGACTCAGTGGCTCGCAGACCCACCTGCTCATTCACGAAACCACTGCCCTGACTGTGTTCCTGAGACAATTGTGTCATTTGTCAGAGTCCATGTTGTGCCTCCTCTCACTGTAGAGTGAACATAGACTTTCTCAAGAATGAGGAGCATGGTGCACTTGTCTTCTGGATATCCCGAAGCATCCTTCTGTGACTTCAAACCTTGAGTGTTTGCTACCATCTCTGAACAAAAGTCTGGGTCCTTCAACCAAGAAGAGCTTTCATATCTTCAACTGGCAGGTACTGCTTGGGGAAGAACTATTGGAAAGAGTAAGATAGGGTCCTACTTGTATTTTAAAAGGGAAAAGGCATGTTTTAGGGAACTCTCGGAGCATATAGACCAGTGTGGGTGACACTCCTTGGTCAGAAGTTCCCACAGACTTGACTCAATTACAGGCCCACTCCGCGCCTTTACTGCAAGTGGAGGAGAAGAGCTTGGGCAAGAATTAGCTTTCCATCTTCAGGGGCTTCACAAGTACAGGGAAAAGATGAGTATTCAGTTCAACAACTTATGACAAAGTTTGTTCTTGAGAATAAGCTTGTTAAAGGCAAAGGAAGTTTATTTTCATCTCTCACCATTTGCCCTCGTTTTTGCTCAATATTAAAATATATATATATATCCAAAGAGGCAAGATGATTAGCTTTTAATTCATACATAAATGCAAAGAAGAGAACTGTAAATTAATTTTCAACATTTTATAAAAGGTAGCCCACATATAATGGAGGTTTCAGTAGATGGAGTCTTGGCATGGCGCTGTAGGATAAGCATTGTAGGACTGCAAGATCGGTTTGAACCACAAATTTGGAGGTTCAAATTCACCAGCTGCTCCTTGGAAACCTTATACAGGGTAGTTACACGTCGGAACCAACTCAACAGTTCTTCACAGCAGCATGCTAGGTCATCTTAGTTGAAATGCTGGAGTTGGTAGGTATGCGCCGGCCATTATGGGGAGGGTCCATACAAAGGAGTCACACCTGCTTGAAGACTACCACCTCTCTGCATGTATAGAGTGACAGTTTATCCCATGAACCCAGAGAGGGGACAGAGGCAGGGACAGGACCCTGAGCTGCCACACCGTCCTCCATGCAACAAAGGAGTCTCAAGATATTCTGCACCCTATTAACCACTCTTTATTTTTTTAAATAATTTTGGGGGTGGGGAAGAAGTATTTAGGGAAAGTTTAAGTTTTGCAATGCATTTATAAATTGTAAATAAACCTTTCCCATAAAGTGTCTTTCCCTTGGTCAACGACTGCTTCTGAGTTTTACAAGAGCCAGTTTTTAAAAAATGTATTGTTACTGGAGTCCTGGTGTGGGTCTGTAAGGTAAGCACTGGACTACTAACCACAAAGTTGGTGATTCAAACCTTAGAAAACTAAAGGGTTGCTGTGAGTCAGAACCAACTTGATGGCACTTGACAACAACCACAACTAGGGTTCCAGTTCATGTATGTTGGGTTTATTCCAAACAAAACGAGTTTAAACATGTCTCTGAATCACTGGATGGCTGCAGACAAGCTCTCTCAGGAACACACTTGTCTCAGTCTCATCAGGGTGACTTCAAACAAGGTTAAGTCAAAACAGTGGCTTCCAAGGAGATCTACTGGGCCACTGAAATTCACAACAGAGAGGTCCGCTCACAAGGTTATAGTGACTGTTTTTTGAAATGCCTAGGCGTAATCTTGACAGAGTTTCACAAAGGGCACGGGATAAATCACATGAGCTTATTACGAACAAGTTTTAAGAAAATTGAAAACTGCATTGGTGAGAAAGGCTAGCAAAGTGGCCCCCAGGCGTTTACTGCTATCTCCACAATGTAGCTGCTCACTATTCAGTGGCAGTAAGAAATGCACCATGGGAATTTTGCTGGGGAACCTTACTCTTCCACTCTACAGTCCTGATCTTGTCCCCTCAGACTTTTCATTGTTCCAAAACTCAAAGGACATTTCAAAGGAATATGAGCTGAGAACCCTCAATGCCTCCAAGACGTAAAAGAGTGCAGAATTTGGGAAAGGGGTTGGTGGTGGTGGTGGTTATATGCCGTGGTGTCGGTTCTGACTCATAACGACCCTGTACTGGATTTCCAAGGCTGTAAATCTTTACAGGAACAGAACTTATCTTTCTCCCATGGAACAGCTGGTAGTTTCGAACTGCTGACCTTGAGGTTTGCAGCCCAATTCGTAACCACTATGCTACCAGAGTTCCTTTTGAAAGGGGTTAGAAAGATGGAAATACCACCTTCACAAGTACTAAGACCAAGTGGAGGGTATTCTGAGAAGCAATCACTCTGCACATTGATAGTTTTGTTTCATAAAGATATCTTTGATGTTGTAGAAATAATGTCACTGATGAAATGACCCTTAGAACATAAATTACCCCAGCTTTCAGAGAGTCCCTGGTGACTACAAATGCCTCTTCCCTGTTTCCACAGCCAGCAAAATAACCCTTGCACACCCCCAGACCCTCACTGGCACATGGGACACATTTGTAACGAGTCTCCAGTTGTACTAGGCGGTGTGATGGGCCTGTTCATGTCTGTTCACATCATGACTTCTGGGCAAAATGGAACTTGTCTGCAACTGAGTATCCGTGACTCTCTGCCCCTTGACTTTGTCTCTTCTAGAACCTCTTAACGTTAACTTCTGCAACCACAGCAGGACAGGATGAGGATGCCATTCCTCTGAGCCCTTTGGTGCTCTGTGCCTTGGGGAGAGAAGTGGATGGAAGCAGGAGAAAGAGGGAGACCCTCGGAGATACTAGGTGGGGGTACCTAGATAGAACCTCAGGTCTTTGAGTAACCTTGAACAATTAGAATTTTTCACAAGGGTCAGGGCTAGCGACTGTGGCATTGAAGAATGAGCCCCGCCTAAGGAAATTTGTCCCAAAGACACCTGTTCTGGATCATAACTGATCCAACTGGGCCCCACTCTGGATATACTTGCTGATGAGTAGCACGTGAGTTCTGTGAATGCTCAGAGAACCAGGGGCAGGGTGTGATCGCCAGTCTGGTTATGGGAGGAACAAACAAGTCAGGGGCCACATCACACAGGAGCCTGCACTTAGAGCCCCGCAGGATGGCAGAAGGGAAGGAGCCAGGATTGTGGAAGGGGCATCAGCCTAGCCCAACTGCTTGGCACTTGTCAGACCCTTTGGAGACAGAGGGAACACTGTGACTGACAGGGCTCACTTTCCAAGCCTGTCTCACTTTTCCTTGTCCTTTGCGCTCTGGTAGTGTCTAGTACAAACCCTGCATTGCATCCCCCTGGCTCTCGTTTTGCTCTGGCATCTATCATTTCTGAACAGATGACAAAGACCACACCAACCATAATGTTACCCCACCCCACTCCCTGCCAGACATGCAGAGAAGTGAATGTGCCCCCTCTCCACGTATTAGGACTTAGGAGGGACAGATGCTTCCACAGAGGCTCCCCGGGATTGACCCTTTCATGGAAACACTTTAGGAAAAGAGGCAACCACTGACTCAACAAAGCATTAGGAAGTGGGTGCTAAGGCTCAGCTGCTGCAGGCTGTCCAGTGGGATGCCTTCTCAGAGGGACACATTTTTCAACCAATAACTCCACTCTGGAAATGTATGCTAACGAGACAATCAGAGGTGTACACAAATGGGTACAAGGTCATTTTCAACTAAACTGTACCTGTAAAAACTATGCCACCACTAAAAGCCTTTCAAAGAATGGCTAATAATATGGCAAAATGATCATGATGGATTCAGAGAGAGAACGCTTTCATAT